TACATCTTTAAAAATATACAAACTACATGTACCTCAAACATTGTCCATTTTAGGCAAGACATTGACACAAATTCGGTGAGTTTTAGCTCCATTAAAATGCTTGCAACTTGTATTTAAAACAGCCAAAAAAAAACAGCCCATCTGAAAATGAACTACGTGTATGTAAGCCTACATCTTTTCAATTTCAGACCCAAAGTAAAACCAAAATGTGTATTAAAAGTCAGATATTTATTTATTTTGGGTGGTTTTATGCATTAACAATTGAAAGATACAATGTGGATGTGCACATCTGCATTCTCGTACAAGTCTGTTTAGCCTTCAATCGGGGAACCACCATTGTCCCTCTTTTGCTTGTACTCAGAAAGACTCCCCCCATTATGTTTGGTACACGAATCCAAATCTTTGGGAATTGGGGACCCTATTGTCCTCTAATGTTCAACATCCCCTACTGAAACGAACTGCACTACATGTTGTACATACATGTGCACGTACATGTACATGTACATATGCACATGCCTTAATTTTCACAGTGTTTTCATGCCTGAGCGCTTACATTCACAATGAATGAGTGACAACCCCCATGGTGAGGTTGTTTGTTGTAGAAGTGTTAAGGATTATTAAGCCTCTGTTTGGGCAAAGGATTAAAAAAGATAAGAGTGCTGGCCAGTTGACAGTTAGTGTTTATAGCTCCATGGTTAGATCTACTGTTTTCTGTAAGGAGTTCTAGTGGAGGAAATACGCAATGTATGAAACCTAGAAGTTGATCAGGTAGATTGGTTTGCAGAAAAAATAAGCAAATTAAGAAGCTGAACTATTTATTTTTTGGCCTTATTAATCTGTTTAGTATTTAAAATGTTTTGTAATGTGTCTTGTACATGGACTATGCAATAGAGGACATGTACAGCAAGCCCCAATTAATAACAATTTTAGTATTTAAAATGTTTGAAAAGTGTATTGAACATGGACTATGCAATAGAGGACATGTACAGCAGGCCTCATTTATTAACAATTTTCAATGTTTTGTAATGTGTCTTGTACATGGACTATGCAATAGAGGACATGTATAGCAGGCCCCATTTATTAACAATTTTAAATGTTTTGGAATGTGTCTTGTACATGGACTAAGCAATAGAGGACATGTACAGCAGGCCTCATTTATTAACAATTTTAAATGTTTTGTAATGTGTCTTGTACATGGACTATGCAATAAAGGACATGTACAGCAGGCCCCATGTATTAACAATTTTAAATGCTTTGGAATGTGTCTTGTACATAGACTATGCAATAGAGGACATGTACAGCAGGCCCCATTATTAACAATTTCAATGTTTTGTAATGTGTCTTGTACATGGACTATGCAATAAAGGACATGTATAGCAGGCCCCATTTATTAACAATTTTAAATGCTTTGGAATGTGTCTTGTACATAGACTATGCAATAGAGGACATGTACAGCAGGCCCCATTTATTAACAATTTTCAATGTTTTGTAATGTGTCTTGTACATGGACTATGCAATAAAGGACATGTACAGCAGGCCCCATGTATTAACAATTTTAAATGCTTTGGAATGTGTCTTGTACATAGACTATGCAATAGAGGACATGTACAGCAGGCCTCATTTATTAACAATTTTCAATGTTTTGTAATGTGTCTTGTACATGGACTATGCAATAGAGGACATGTACAGCAGGCCCCATTTATTAACAATTTTAAATGTTTTGGAATGTGTCTTGTACATAGACTATGCAATAGAGGACATGTACAGCAGGCCCCATTTATTAACAATTTTAAATGTTTTGGAATGTGTCTTGGATGGACTATGCAATAGAGGACGTGTACAGCAGGCCCCATTTATAATAATTTTAGTATTTAAAATGTTTTGGAATGTGTCTTGTACATGTACATGATGGACTATGCAATAGAGGACATGTACAGCAGGCCCCATTTATTAACAATTTTAGTATTTAAAATGTTTTGGAATGTGTCTTGTACATGTACATGTATGGACTATGCAATAGAGGACATGTACAGCAGGCCCCATTTATTAACAATTTTAGTATTTAAAATGCTTTGGACAGTGTCTTGTACATGGACTATGCAATAGAGGACATGTACAGCAGGCCCATTTATTAACAATTTTAGTATTTAAAATGTTTTGGAATGTGTCTTGTACATGGACTATGCAATAGAGGACATGTACAGCAGGCCCCATTTATAACAATTTTAGTATTTAAAATGTTTTGGAATGTGTCTTGTACATGGACTATGCAATAGAGGACATGTACAGCAGGCCCCATTTATTAACAATTTTAAATGTTTTGGAATGTGTCTTGTACATGGACTAAGCAATAGAGGACATGTACAGCAGGCCTCATTTATTAACAATTTTAAATGTTTTGTAATGTGTCTTGTACATGGACTATGCAATAGAGGACATGTACAGCAGGCCCCATGTATTAACAATTTTAAATGCTTTGGAATGTGTCTTGTACATAGACTATGCAATAGAGGACATGTACAGCAGGCCCCATTTATTAACAATTTTCAATGTTTTGTAATGTGTCTTGTACATGGACTATGCAATAAAGGACATGTATAGCAGGCCCCATTTATTAACAATTTTAAATGCTTTGGAAAGTGTCTTGTACATAGACTATGCAATAGAGGACATGTACAGCATGCCCCATTTATTAACAATTTTCAATGTTTTGTAATGTGTCTTGTACATGGACTATGCAATAAAGGACATGTACAGCAGGCCCCATGTATTAACAATTTTAAATGCTTTGGAATGTGTCTTGTACATAGACTATGCAATAGAGGACATGTACAGCAGGCCTCATTTATTAACAATTTTCAATGTTTTGTAATGTGTCTTGTACATGGACTATGCAATAGAGGACATGTACAGCAGGCCCCATTTATTAACAATTTTAAATGTTTTGGAATGTGTCTTGTACATAGGACTATGCAATAGAGGACATGTACAGCAGGCCCCATTTATTAACAATTTTAAATGTTTTGGAATGTGTCTTGGATGGACTATGCAATAGAGGACGTGTACAGCAGGCCCCATTTATTAATAATTTTAGTATTTAAAATGTTTTGGAATGTGTCTTGTACATGTACATGATGGACTATGCAATAGAGGACATGTACAGCAGGCCCCATTTATTAACAATTTTAGTATTTAAAATGTTTTGGAATGTGTCTTGTACATGTACATGTATGGACTATGCAATAGAGGACATGTACAGCAGGCCCCATTTATTAACAATTTTAGTATTTAAAATGCTTTGGAAAGTGTCTTGTACATGGACTATGCAATAGAGGACATGTACAGCAGGCCCCATTTATTAACAATTTTAGTATTTAAAATGTTTTGGACAGTGTCTTGTACATGGACTATGCAATAGAGGACATGTACAGCAGGCCCCATTTATTAACAATTTTAGTATTTAAAATGTTTTGGAATGTGTCTTGTACATGGACTATGCAATAGAGGACATGTACAGCAGGCCCCATTTATTAACAATTTTAGTATTTAAAATGTTTTGGAATGTGTCTTGTACATGGACTATGCAATAGAGGACATGTACAGCAGGCCCCATTAATTAACAATTTTATTATTTAGTTGCAGCAGGCCCCATTTATTACATGTATTAACAAAAACAGGAGTTTCCTCATAAACCCAAAATTTATCATCGTTTGAGGAGCTAATGTTACTATGAAACCTAAAATTTGATCAGGTAGATTGGTTGCGTTAGAAAATTCAACTGATCAGCTCAACTTTCTTTTTGGCGGAATAATGTCCTTAGATAAGATTACTGTTATGAGTGATGCGACGGACCGGCTATTTTATGCAAAGAACTTGAATAATATACTAGCACTTTCTGGCACGTTTGGGACGGTGAGTAAAAAGAAGTAAATGAAGCCGTCTTTATATTAGCAGTAGCAGAGAAAGCCACATGAACAAAAAATTATAATAAAAACTCGTAAAGAAAAAAACAACAAGTGTATCGGTACATTATTAAAGTCATGTACCCTCCCAGAGTGGCATAGTGGCAATTAGTGGCATTCGGACCCTTGTGCTTATAGCCTGCATAATTGGCACGCAATTGCCTGCACCGACATGCAAAGGAATGCAAGGACCAGGCCAGGCGCCTGGCGTGCCGGTCTTGTGACAGGTCTTGACTACAACACTCTTGCCTTCTTTTGTCTTTGTATAAGTTCCTTGCTACATGTAGGAGCATTATCATTTATTTTAAGTAAAATTTGGCAATTCTGGAATGTAAATAAAAAAAATATAACTAACCTGTACTCAACACCCTGGTGGTTGAAAAAGAAAGTGTAATCGTTATCGTTGTTGCAATTTCCCTTGCCCAATTTCCCTCTATACTCCAGCAGGAAGTCCCCCTTGCTGAAATGCTTAGTGGTGAAAAGACCATAACCTGTATACCAACGAGAAATAAAGGTCCAACACCACAATTGGTCACTCATAAAAAGTATACACACATGTGCGAGTTGATAAGAATTGGACCCACATTTTTTTCCCCTCTTTGTTTTGCCAAGTTGATTGCCAAGAGACTTCATTCAATTTTGAGTATAGCTCAGTCGGTAAAGCGTCTGTACAGTATTCCGGAGGTCACAGGTTCGAATCCTGCCCCTGCCAGTCTTTCTTTGTTAATTCTTTGAAATGTATGCAAGATGATTACCTAGTCGGTTTCTCTTGTGTTTTATCTTTGTGTTAAGTATAAAACTTATAGTTATACATTTTTAAAAGAATGCCTGTTATCTTATGACAATTTATTTTTAAATGCAGATGATTTTGGCATGGAATTAATGACCAAAACAACACAGTACCTACAATACACGTTTGTTGGCCTACATGGACTATATAGTATGTTACAAGAGGACCCCTGTGTGGACCCTTCAAACTCAAATGGATTTAGGAATTAGGCTTTATTACACAAAGGTTATTTGCCTTTTGCTTGCCAAAAACCTTAAAAAATGCCTGGTTAATTTTGCTAGATCAGTGAATTTCAGGACCCCTGATAAACTTCATTTGAGAAATCAAAGGTGCATCCCACGGTCATGATGGAATCCCGATGTTGTTACAACTTTAAATTTAGTAACCAACTGTCACACAAATTGACTGATACATATCACTAACCAGAATGCGTAAATATGTATAACACTATCGTTTAGTAATACAGTATCGGTCAATTTTACTACGTACATTATATCAGTCATATCAGTACATTATATCAGTCAAACGTGAGTGAGTATAGCCATTTATTGGTTTTTATAACTGTCTTCAATCACATGTTCTACTTACCAACACAGTCATTGATGTACCTCCTCTCGAAGCCTTCTTGATCACTGCCATTATTGCACCATTTCTCAGCATGTTGTTGAGGCGATATTCTCCTTGTTTTTCTGCAATTCATTTTCTCTGACAAAGCAAAGAAGTACTACATTAAAGAAAATACCAAAAGATTACACAAACAAACATGCTCCATGTTGTATTTTTGCTTGCAATATGCACAACATGTCATTTGGCAATAAAAAAATCATTGATGTTCAAATTCATCAGAAATGAGCGTTGTTCTGCAAATTTTGAGAGTGAAGCAACGGCAAAACACATATCATCAGCAGACTCAGAGGAAATAAAATGATGATGATGTGCAGTACTACAAACTCTGGTCACAACGAACAAGTAACAATAAACTAGTTTGTCACAAATTTGTCCATAGGGTTTCATGTACAAAGTTCTTCATACGAAAGTACAGTATGAAATGCATTCACAGTGATCGAGATGGGTGTGCATGGAGTTAGCCTACATTTTGCACAACACATATAAAATAACCAACAGGAGAAGATCAACGGAAATTTTGCTGCTTATAAATAATTTGATCTTTTAGTGATAAAATTGAATATATGCACATAAATAGGCAGTACTGAAGCGAAATCGGCCAATTGATCCAAACGTCAAACAAATTTTGCAGTTTTCTTTCAATTTGTCCTACATGTATAATTTGTCTTCTGAAAAGTCTCTGAAATTATCATTAACGTATTACTTTCTGGTCCAAGTCATTATTTTGAGTAAAAAAAAAATTGTAAAAAAACATTGCAAAAAAAATAGTCCCCTGCGCACGAGGTCCAGAACAGCAGGACAGGACAGGAGCCATATCTGCAGCAAATGGGCATGTCAATTTTACATTGTACCTTGGCTACCCCGACCGTCACATTATAATCGACATGAATCGCTAAGTAGGTCTTAGCTTGGGCCTAGGCCTAGCTTATGTTGATGACATTTACAATGCAGCATGGCAGCACACACAACCAAAGATCCTACACAGCCATATCAAGCGACGTTGACGTGTACAATAGACGTCATTTTTTAGTTATGTTTTTTTAAAGCTCCGTGCACGAGCTCAGCTGGCAAAAAACGTTAACACAAAAAAAATTTGAGCGTTTGCTAAACTTACTTTATGTACATAAATGTTCATTTTGAATGTATTCGTCAATCTAGTGGAAAAAAAAAAAAAACTTTATATTATGGAAAGTTTTTAAAAATATCTCGAAAAATGTGCGATTCATCGCAACGGGAATCGCGGCTGCCGTGGCAGATTTTCGATCTAATCGCACAGGTCCCTGGCACCGTACCCCAAGCACCGGTACGCGCAAAATGATAGGAGCCCGCCGCCGAGTACCCATTAGTGCCGAGTCTGGGTACTCAACGGGCTCCAATCATTTTGCGTGTACGAGGTGTGGAGTACCAGAGACCTGTGCGATGAGATCGAAAATCTACCGTGGCAGCTGCAATTCATTACTTTTAAAGTTTATATCCAATACAGTGGCGGATCCAGAGAGGTTATTTGCCGGGGGCTGAGGTTGTTTGCCGGGGGGGCGCAACAGCTCATTCAAATGAAAAATGACCAAAATGACCTTATTTTACAAAATTTCGTTCACTGCCGGGGGGGGGGGGGGGTGCGCACGCCCCCCTAGCACCCCCGGGATCCGCCAATGCAATAGATCAATGAAGACATTCAATATGAACATGTACATAAAAGTAACACTCCATTTTTTTCACGTTGCATTTTTTTGCCGGCTGAACTTGTGGAGCTCATTCACGGAGCTATAAAAAAAACATAACTAAAAAATGACGTATTGCACACGTAAGTTCAGCAAAGTAAAAAAAAACATGTTTCACATCCCCGCCTGCTTCCTTTTTGGAGGCCGCCTGGATTTTAAAAAAAAAAAATTTGAAAACGCAGTAAAAAGACACCGAAAAAGTCCAGAAATTAATCGGAAAATAAATACTTGCGAAATATGTGAGTCGAAGTTTCAGTGACAGTATACTCTAAATGACACTAATATGTTCAGTTTTCTTGTCCAACTTGTCCTTCATTTTAAAAGTGTCTTTGAACAGTTGAAACACCAACGGTTGCAGGAAATTTTAAAATGGCTGCCATCTTGAAAAAAAAAAAGGCCCCTCTCCTCCTTTTTATCAAAAAAACGGACGAGAGAAACATTTATTTTTATTCGGCCTTGCGCCATCGTCGCTTGATTAAGGCCAAAAAAATAATACTTCTGCTTCCAGTTACCCGACTGACCCTATTTTAAGGCTGCGACCCTAAAAATGTTATCTGCAATTCCAGAAAAAAAATTATAATAATGATTGAATAAATGTCTTTTTTGTCTTCATAAAATACCTCTCAACAACCCTTTTTTAGTCAACAAAGCTTGTATTTATTTGTTTTCTTACTTACATTCGCTATTTTTTCAAAAGAAACCTTCGTTATTTTTACAAATTCGCTTCGCGATATAATTTTATACTTCGCAATTCGATGTCACGGTCTAATCACGTGCGTAAACCCAGCGCAATGCGGCGATGACTGGTTCCCGCCGCGCCAATTTAGAAGATATGATGAAATTGCGGTAACTAGTCTGTGCACGGCTATGCGATCGATAGCATGGCTACAAACACGTGCACTGTCAACTGGTCGGATTCGACATCGTAAAAATGCCAAGAAAGCACCGATGGAGAAAGAACGTTTTTGCAAATTAATTCACAGAAATGATCTAGCTTGTCTGTGTATGTATTTTCTGGGTTCAAGAGTTCATTATGAGATTGCACTACTCGTATTTGGAGTGATACATGCCGCGTGTTTCCCGAATTTTTGCCCGTGAAAACAGGTCTGTCGGCCCATGGCGGGCCGCTCGCCACACATGCTCGCATCACACACCTCGGGTTTTGGCTAGCTCCCCGCGTCTTGACTGGCGTGTTTCCCGACATTTTCGACCGTGAAAACAGGTCTGTCGGCCCATGGCGGGCCGCTCGCCCCACATGCTCGCATCACACACCTCGGAGTTTTGGCCAGCTCCCCGCGTCTTGACTAGCGTTGTGCATATGGTGCGAACGACCTGAATTTGCCATTATTGTTTTAAATTATCGAACGTAAATATATTGACAATAATTATAGGTAGGTTTTATTCACTTTTTGTTGCCATTTTGTGTATAGCTTTCGTAGTGCAACGGAAATAGTTCAGGCTAAAACTTCGCATATACATGTAATTGGATACCCCATTCAATCTGCATTAAAAAAAATGGCAAAAAAAAAAATTCCGACCGACCGACCCTATTTTTGAAAGGCATGTAATCGGAAGCAGAAGCAATTTTTTTTTTGGCCTAAGCGATGTATGCACAGTTTAGCGACGTCGCTAGATCTAGCTTTGGAACCCGACCGGAGTAGGCCTAGTCCTACCTGAATTTGTGTCCGTAACTTGCTCACCTTTCCAAATTAACCGAGTAGGCCGCCTAGGGCTAGGCTACAATGCAGCTAGGCCGCATGCAGGGCAGGCTATACTTTAACGCACAAAAGCAATCGAAATACTGAACACTATGATCAAAACAAAAACCAAAACATACAAGCAAAATACTGCCAAAATCAAATTTCTAACATAAATTTGGACAACGTCCAATCGCTCATTGTTAGGACAATATTCACGCCAAGCCATGTTTGTTCGACTCGTCTAATTAAACGTTAGGCAGTGCAGTATTGGCTTCAGTACTTGTTAGGCCTACGTACGTGCGCGTGATGTAGTGACTGTACTGATAGTGACGGGACCGCGCCGCGTGATCAGGTCAAGTAGGCCTATACTGAGCGTCGAAATATTAACGTGATGTGATAAAAAGAAAACCATGAGTAAACTAGGCCTAAAAAATGTTTTTGCATAGAAAATACAATGTTTTTTTTACAAACCTGATGTGCCTTCTATCTGCCTATAATCGTTAAATCATCGCAGGCGTCCAGCGATCTGAACAATCGAATCGTGGACGTGTTTCATCCTGCAAGCGCGGGAAATGGCATGGCACGGTGCCAACTTGCGCGCTCGGCGCGCTCGCAGCGGCCCGGATCGGTACAGCGCGCCACGCACGTACCGCTTGAGGGCGTCCTACAGTTAGGGACGAGTACGTTCCATTTTTTTGTCACACGAGCTGAATGTAGTTCATACTTTCACGCACCGACTCCTGATCTTCACCGCCAAAACGTGGACTATCGTTAAAACTGTTGGGGAATGATAGAGCGCCCTCTTCTAGCCAAAGATATTCCAAAAATACAGCAAAAGTAACCGTGGACGTCCACGGTCCCAGTGCGTCCACAATTTGAAGGTGTGTATCCTAGTGAAAGTCCACGATTGCCGGTATTTACACACGCACACACACACACACACACCAGCAGGAGTACGTACGGCAGATCTTACGTGCAGCCAACCGACTTTCTTTTTCTCAGTGCTTGCACGCGCGGTACACAATATAATACGCATTGATGTTTTTGTACGAGGCAAATGAGCTCAAGGGCAAAACACGCGTGCACATGGTGTTCCGATCATGCCGATTGTCAAAAGTTATAAATGGCGATCGTGTATGGGCCCGGTTCTCTAAGAGAACAAAATCCACTTTTAATTTATTTGACTTACCAAACTAGTTGGCGACATTAAGAACATACAGGTAGGTCATAAATAGAGGGAAATTTGGGGGAAAATGACGATGACAACGACAAAGCGCAACATGAAAATAAAGACGACGATCGCACGGCACCGGCACCACCCATAAAATCGCGTACAAAAACCGTAATTTGTATCCCATTTTTTTCCTTCAAAATTACAAAAAGGTGTCATTTGATCTGAGAGAAGTCTGCTTTAGGTTGAAAAGGTAATTTTTGATTGCTAAAAAGTAAAAAAATCGGGGGAACTGGCCTGGCATCGCCTCAGATTGCACCACAGAGCATCTAGAATCCAAATTTTTCCCGGGGCCCTTAAGTGGGCCCCGGACCCCACGCCGTAAGGGCTTTGCGCTCCGCACTCGCAGGAGTCCCCGCCAACCCCAAGTTCAACCTTTAATTTTCAAAGTTGGAGAACACTGCTACAACAACCCATCCCTACCCATCCCTACCCATCCCTACCCATCCCCAACGCAACCCCTACTCCGATCCTATAATCCCACCCCCTCCTAACCCGACCCCTACATCCATGCCCATCCTCTCCCTACCTGTCTCCCCCTACCTGTTCCCACCCCACCCCTACAAATCCCCACCCCAAACCCAGTATTCCAATCCCTCTCCCCACCCTGCCCCATCCCAACCCACCCCGCCCCACCCATCCTAGCTCCCCTACTCATCCTACTCACACAAACCCTATCCCCCAACCCACCCCACCCCACCCTCCCCTACCCTATCCCTATTCCAACCCCATAAACTAAAAGCTCAAACCAGGAGCTCATGCACATCCCAAAAAGGCATAGTGTACATGTACATGTTATACTGGTATACACACACGTACATGTTATACCAGTATACATGTACATGTAACAATTAAAAACTTTAACATTTCCTTGAATTAAAGTTCCTCAATAAAATCATAAAATTTACTGCAATGATATGAACCTAACTGAAGTTATAGAGATGATACATGACAACTGCATTTAATTTTTTCCCCAAGTCAACTAGAACCAAAAACTTCAACATTTTTATCTGAATGCAGACGCACAGACGAACGGACGGACGGACGGACGGACGTTCCAGCCAGATGGAATTGTGGGGTGATAGCATTGTGTTCCCATTATCCCTTTTTCTAAAGATTCTCTTCTGGGGTGATGTTTTTCTATTGTTAAAATAGTGGGGTGATGTGTCTTGAAAGGAACATCACCCCACAAGGGTGGTATGGTCAGAATGGAAATTGGTATTACATAGGCTCGCATCTGCTTCGCAGCTCGCCAAAAATAAATACATTTTTGCAAGGACATCATTCCTTCCTAAAAAAAAAAATTGACAGTTTTGTGATATTCCATAGGTAGGCTACATAGATAGGCCTCAAGGTCCATTTTAACAGTCATGACAGTGTAAGCTGTCAATCTTACCTGAGTGCTGGCTTGAATTTGATTTCCAATCCGATCCACAATCTTGACAATGCCTTCACATGTGAAACGATATCGCTGGAAGACCTTGTGGTCCGTTAAACTATTTAAAGGATCGCGCCTTTCTCTAAAAACCCGCTCCCTTCTCAATGCCCGCCCCGCTTCACGATCTGCCGAGAACATAAGCGCCATCTTCAATCCTGCGATATGTTTTTGTGCAGTTACGACGACCTAAAGACACGACGCAACTTACGACGTGTTTCAAACCGCAGTCAAGGAACTTGTGATGCGTTTAACGCATCGCAAGTTTCGTGAAATGGATCGTACGACGCAGCTCGAGTTGTGACGTGTTATGCGTCGCAACTCGGGCTGCGATGCGTTGCAGTGCTTCATGAAATCGGGTGCTGGAACAGCCCAATTGGCTTTGAGTATGTGTGGTTCTGTAGAGAACCTGTTGGATTAACTAGACGTTTTAAACAGTATGCTCTGTTCGTCATCAAGAGAAATGATGTTAATTCAGAAGAACATTAAAAATGGGTTATACATTTTTTGTAACCATCCACAGAACTATTAGTGAGGTACCTTAGTGAAAAAATCGTGACACAGTGGACAAAAGCGCCATTTTTTCACCAAAGCATCTTCATGGTATACCTTTTCGAAAAAAAGACGGACGCAAAAAATTGGATGATGGGAAGGGCATGTATGACGTCATTATGACGTCATCAGCTAATTATTACATGAAATATATATAAATTGATAATATCTTCTGAACTACAACCATCACAACAACAAAAGTCGCATCAAATGAAAGGGAACAACAAGATCTTTCATTTGAGTGGTATGTCAGGAGCGTGGAATGTAGTAAAGGGTGGTTTTTGGGGCAAAAAAGCACTTTTTTGGTCAAAAAACCTGATTTTTGGCTAAAATCATGTATTTTTGTTTGGCACCTTGTTTAACATGCAAACCGTATTTGTTATTGTGAGATTTTGTTTTGAAGTCAGAGAAAAAGGTTCAAATTCTATGCCAAAAGAGTTTTTGCAATTGATTGTTATTTTTTTATAATTGATTATTCGTATCTTAAATGCTTACACTTGTTCCTTAGATAGGTGGAAAAACTGCAGTTACCGTAAGGAAAGTTATCACCATTTTAGGGTATGGGCCAAAATGGGACTTAAGATTTCCTGTATTACCTTGATAAGGCCCAAAAAATTGTTCTGCTTCCCACTACATGGCATTTGAAAACAGGGTTGGTAGGTAAGGATTTTTTTGTTTGTGTACAATCATATATGGAGGCGTCTGCGTGTAGTCAAGGGTGAAAGGGAGAAATTGATTGTTTTGGGTTTTTTTTCTCATTTTCCCATAAAACAAATTAGGGTAGGGGCTGTCAGAATAGGGAAGGTAGGGAAACCGGAAGCAGAACAGTGTACTATCATTTTTGGGGGCCTAATACATAGTTTAGTTGCCAGCAAATAGATGGTGTGCATTACTTTTATCAATGCATGTCCAGTTTGAGGAGACTTTTGAATCAAGACCTCCAACAAATCATGCATAGGCCTACGTTCTTTTTATATATCGAAAGTAAGAAAGCTTAAACTTTTGTGTAACAGCCCACACATAAAAGCTTACCACTTTGTATTCATTATGTTGAAATTGATTTTTGAAACCAATGCATTTAGTGGTGAGACTCCTTTTTGCGTCTCAAAGTGCCTGAAAATGTAAAGTTGTCGTGGAATCGCACATAAACAATCAGAATAAGTCAGGAGTAAGCCTAATCCATTTGGGGTCAAATCGGTTAGGATGTGCTGGGATGAAATGGAGAAATGAGCAGCCCTATCTCCACTGAAGTACTCCACTGCATAGCACAGCGTCTCAACATTATCATCTTCCAATAAAATTCTAAGGACCAGTTCTACGAGGAACTCAATACCACCATCAGAGGTATCCTTGTCGTAGAACAACTGTACCTCCTTGGCGAATTCAACGCCCGAGTGGGATCTGACCACAACTCCTGGCCCAGCTGCATCGCTCACGTTGGCGTTGGCAAGCTAACTGAGAACGGGCAGAGGCTGCAGAAGCACCTCAGATCCCGTCACTGGCTTCAGCTTCATCTCATCATCACAGGAAGACCCTCACGAAACTGCGTTCTCATCACACGCAGCGCTGACTGTAATACAGACCACTCCCAAATAAACAGATCCACCGCTCAAGGCAAAAAAGACGCCCATACTTCAAACATCGCCAGGACGTCAATCCCAGATCTGTGCAACACGAGGAATCTCCCTCCTCGATATCGTTAAGAAGGCCTTCGCCCTTGTAGTGCTGAACAGATCGCAGCTGCGAGCTGAGTGCATATACCCTGAGAGGCAGTGCGGTTTCAGAGCTGAAAGATTAAAGATCGACATTATCTTCTCCATTGTCTTCGACTTACGGCAGCTCCAGGAGAAGTGCCGAGAGCAGCGACGACCGATGTACTGACCGCCGGCCTTGCCGATGAAGGCCTTCGACCTTCGTCAGTAGAAAAGGCCTCTTCAGGCTACTGCAGAAGATTGGATGTCTCCAAGTCATCAAAACATTCAACTCCATTACCTTATCAGCATCGGACATATGATGTGCACAACAGCTGAACACCGCCGAACACTGGATGTGATCTGTCCGGATCATCTCTAGCAACATGTCTGCAACGAGGTTAACACAAACTCGAGAGCAAATACCTTACCAGTTCGTTGATGCGTCACAAATACGGAGACAATTGGAGAAACCAACCCTCCCAATGAAGGCATATAATGTTTCCGGAATCATCTGCCATGGTTCGATGCACCTTATGGGTATACCAGCAGAATGACTGGCAACGTGAGAAGTTCCAAGTGGTCATTGTGGCAGGACCTATCAATGGGCTCCCTACTATACGAGCCGCACGTACCCTACGAGCCGCACCCTACACTTGGTCAAAACCTACACTGGCACACTGCCCCCAAAGCCTCAGGCCCCCACAGGAACCAAAGGGCTGACCACTACCACTCCGATGAGAGACATACAAGACCTGAAGGACCGGCTCCCAAAGCAGTTTGATACTTTCGACGACTTAGATACGCGCTCTCCTACACCTCAAGCCAGATACTCAGTCCCACATAAATCCGCCACATAGGTGCAGCTTTCATGCCAAACCAAAACCGCAGGCCGAGCTGAAAAAGACTGAGAAAGGCTGGGTCATACGAAAAGTCTCCCATCACACGGACGGGTGCAGCTCTATCACAGCAACTGCCAAAAAAGACGGCCCGTTCAGGACGTGTCTGGATCCCAAGCAGCTAAACACATAATGTTTTCTAAAGATCTTGAGGAGCTCAAGCCAGAATTTGCACTGGAAAGGTTCTCCTCCAAGCTAGACGTCAAAAGCAGGGTATTGGTCTGCTCACCTAGGGCAGTCTGAAAAACTGACAACATACAATTTGGTTGTTAACAGCTTTCGTCGCCCATTCATCGGCTTATCAGTAAGCCAAGATAATGGTCCCAAAAAATATTGCTGGCAAAATAAGCTAGATGCCTTGATGCGTTGGAACAATCACCGTGACGACATTGCAGTATTCGGTCTCCCTTGAAGAGCATGACGAGCGGCCGAATGTCTCATCGCCCTGATGGAAACTGCTGGTTCCTTAGCATAGTCAACAATGTCTCACACTAGGCTACACCCCAAATTGCGCAGACAAAGTTGCTCCCTTCAGCGATCTTCTTCGAAAAGATGTACCATTTCTCTGGGAAGAGGACCATCAAGCTTCTTTTACAACCCTTAAACACTCCATCTGAACTCAGTCCTGGCTACAATTCTCCGACACACAGGTATAGAAACAATTCTCAAAGTAGATGCATCTGCAAGAGGATTGGGCAACACCCAGGAAGGTAAACCCATCGCATTTTCCTCAAAGAGCCTATAGATCCTCTTCCCAGAGCATATCCTCGAATATCGAGAGGGAAGCTGTGGCACTGCTGCAACTTCATTCGGCTCCAACTTCATTGTTGTCACTGACCATTAAAACCATTGGTTACGATCTGGCGCAAAATCCTAGCCAGTACACCACACCGCTTGCAGCGTCTTAAGCTACAAGGATACAACTTCGACGATGTCTACAAACCTGGTGCTATGATGGTGATCGCAGATGCACCCGGCAGATTGCCCAACCCCTCCAAGCTCGACAACGAGACATGTGATGAATCTGTAACTGAGATCCACTGGAATGGGCACCCGATTGTATAACTTATGCTACATTTTTTTGTCCACCTATCTTTGGAATAAGTTAAAACATTTAAGATACCAATAATCAATTACGAAAACTCTTTTGGCATAGTATTTGAACCATTCTCTCTGACTTAAAAACCAAAACTCACAATACCACTTACGGTTTGCATGTTAAAACAAGGTGCCAAAATGATTACCCCAAATCCATGATTTAAGCACCAATTTTGTTTTTGTTTTACCAAAAAGGGTATTTTTGGGCAAAAAACCTACCCTGTACTACATTCCATCCCACTGACATACCACTCAAATGAAAGATCTTGTTGTTCCCTTTAATTTGATACCACATTTGTTGTTGTGATGCTTGTCGTTCTGAAGATATTATCAATTTATATGTTTTTCAAGTGTAAGATTTTAAGATACTGATAATCAATTACAAAAAATAATAATCAATTGCAAAAACTCTTTTGGCATAGAATTTGAACCTTTTTCTCTGACTTCAAAACAAAATCTCACAATAACACATACGGTTTGCATGTTAAACAAGGTGCCAAACAAAAATACCTGAATTTAGCCAAAAATCAGGGTTTTTTTACCAAAAAAGTACTTTTTGGCCCCAAAAACCACCCTTTACTACATTCCACACCCCTGACATACCACTCAAATGAAAGATCTTGTTGTTCCCTTTCATTTGATGTGACTTTTGTTGTTGTGATGGTTGTAGTTCAGAAGATATTATCATTTATATATATTTCATGTAATAATTAGCTGATGATGTCATAATGACGTCATACATGCCCTTCCCATCATCCAATTTTTTGCGTCCGTCTTTTTTTTGATAAGGTAAACCGTGGAGATGCTTTGGTGAAAAAATGGTGCTTTTGTCCACCGTGTCACGATCCTTGGCATTTTTGTCACTAAGGTACCTCACTATATTCTGTATCTAAAAACAGCTTTTTTGTGTTATTCCTGTATTATGCATGCGCAAACGACTTTCGAGGTCCACTTTTGCGACCCCAACAAGTCCAGCTGTTTGGGTGCTAGTTGTGATTATATCCGTAAAGTGTTCGCCGTTTGCGGACGTGGAAAAACCACATTTTGTGCATTGGTGATTGGTCACAGCTATTCGTGTATCAAACATTGACGGAAAATGACAGGAAAAACTCAGGGTTTTTGGTCTTAACAGGAACAAGACGACATTAGGTTGGTTTCCTTTCAACCAAATGTTTGAAATAGGATAAGTTAACAATCCAAAACATGAAATTTTGGGGATTTCAGGACTTAGTGCCCCTTTAATTTTCCTTGAATATGAGAGAAAGGAAAGATTTTTTAAAAATAATTTCGTGATTGTTTGCCACAACCACAAGTGTTATTTCATTTTGATAAAAATGCAGGCAGACAACAGAAAGTGAGGGCTGCAGCCTTCCTTTCTATTGTCTTAATACATTTTTGTCAAACTGGATATGCCACAGCAGATCAATAGATGGCTATTAAAAACACACATAAACGTATACACAGGGCTTATGATTTTCTGTAATAGCAGAACATGTCCGCCTTGTCCCCCATGCATGAATACAATTTAGAGCCGTGCAATTTGTAATAGTTTAGTATTTGACTATTCTAGCTTGGACTTGATTCAAATGTTCGAAAAATTGAAATGTGCTGATCAAGTCTAACATGCGCCACTAAAACTAACAGTATGCCACTAACAATATACCATTACAACAAAATTCCTTGTAGATTCCCTAAATGAAGTTTGGATAAAATAACCAACGCATCAATGGCCAGTTGGCAAGAAATTTATTGGCAGTACCCTCTGCAGTTTCCCTTTCTTTGTCACCGTTCCAGCATCGTTCTGCTGCTGAGAGGTAGCCTGCCTATGGTGGTACGAACAATTTACAGAACAAAGAAGTACCCCCGGTACAACAATGAAATGTTCCAGCCTGGATGACCGGCTGAACCTATGCCCTGTTCCGACGTGGGCGAATGGGCCTTCTGTTAGTTTAAGTGCTTCCCGTGCAAGAACAGCAAGGAAGGGAGGCACGAGGGGGAACGGCAAAAGTCTTTATGATGCCTCGCTTTATTATATGGACCCAGCTTCTGCCACTGCATAGCCATTAGCTGACAAATTAACAAACGCTATTAAGACTAGATGTCTATGTGAGTTTATGCGGTTTTTGCAGATGTGCGGTCATAAAAATGACCATTTTGTGTACAAAGTGCATTTAATGTAAAATTTTTCTAGTACAGCCAAAAAATATAAAAGTTGAAACATTTAATTTATTAAAAATCACTTGATAATTTCATCTTGACGTCATTTTGAATTTCCCCATTATCTACATGTACCTTTCCACCAAGTTTCATGACGATCGAACCTACCCTTATATGTGTTTTTGATGACATAGCGATGACGTCACACATTTTAAATCTTTAAAGAATGACCATGTTATTGATCTCTGGATGACCTTTGACTTCCAATTTCAGAAGAGTTGTGATTAACCCCACCCAAGGATCACTCCATCTAAGTTACATTAACCCTAAAGGGGCCGGGGGGGGGGGGGGAATTGCCTCCCCCCCCCAACCTTTTCCACGATAGCCTTGATAACAATTTTTAATACCAAAAACTAAAATTTGGACCGTGGGTTGCCACGCACCATTTACCCTAAGTGTCTCCCAAAACTTTGTTTAGGTGACACAAAATGTGTTTTTATAGTAAGGCAAAGGGTCTGATCTTAAACAACATGTTTGTGGACCCCATTGTGTTCTTACCGTTATAGCCATTGTCTGTTGACATACATACATGTACATATGGAGACTTTTTTTCATCGCTTTTGAAAATCCTGCTAAAGTTCACTTGTCCTATACTATTCTTACTGCGTGTGATCTCCACAATATTGGATATAATTTCAAAGCGAAAACTCATTTGAGCAAGCTAAGGAATTTAAAAGCTATGGAAACAACTCACGTAAGTGGCGCAGCAGAGATTTGCCTCGGAGTCAAAGGAGAGAAAGCACATGTTGTCTGGAATTCCCTTCTTAGCCATCACTCTCTCTAGCAGGAGATTGGATCCTTTAAATCACAGAAAAAGAGACACACTCAATGATGAGTTTAAATATTGTACTTTGTGTGCTTTGGTGTGTAATTTTTCCCTTAATTTTCTACATAATTTAATGTACTTATTTGTAATTTATTTTCAGTTTCACCTGCCAATTTTATGGGCTGAGTAATAAAATGAAGAGGAAATCATCCTAGTGTCACCTCGTCAATTTTTCTGTGTCACGCTTACACACAGTGACAAGCACAGAGCAACAGTGCTTAATAATACTAATACAATATTTAAAAAAACACACCATAACTTCAAACAAACTCTTCCTGATTATCACTGCTACAAAATGCAAAAGCTGTATGTGTGTATGTGTTCATGAGTTGACCAGCCGCAGCACAGGCAAATTTGCCCATGTAGCAGGCTTTTGGGCGACAGGACCAGGCAAGCAGGCAACAAGAGGCGAAGCCTTGTCAACACAATTCATTCAAACAGGGTAATGAAAGGTGACTAATACACAATCTTTATGAAGCTGGGAACTTACCTTCAGATATGAATCCCTTCATTGAATTTAGACCGTAAGTCTGAGCTGTCCTCTGCACTTGCTGTGGATAATATAAAAGAGAAAGACAAGTTGATGCAAATTGTCCATTTTAAATAGCTGGAAATCCACTTAAAAAAATGATGCCTTCAACCACCCTCACCCTCCCCCCCCCCCCCTCCTCCTCTCAAAAAAAAAAAAATTCCAATCAAGAACAAGTGGTAACAACAATTAACCCTGCTTTCATGGTTAGCACAAAATAGTAGTATGGTAATGGTACAAAGATGTTTCCACAATGTAACAGTAACAAAATGACTCCAGTAAGTACAATCAATGTCAAATGAGAAACAGTTTGTTTTTGGAGTTCATGTTTAAAACGACTGAGCTAGAACAGTCAAAATAGCTATTGATGACTGAGGGTATAAATGTTGACACAAATTCTTCATTGAGCAGTCATGCAGTTGGTTGTCACACAAAATAACAGTCTAGGCATATTTTTTTAAGAAAAGGGCTCATTTAGGGCAAGAAGAGGCATTTTTTATTAAAAGTTGTTAACCTAACTATTTTACCTAATTTGATAATAAGAGGTGTCCGTAAATTGGGCTTACAAATTAGGCGAAGCGTTGCCTAATGTGGAGAACTTGAACAACTTCAAAAAATTCCCAAAATAAAAGACTAGTGTTGCCAACAATAATTATGTTGACATAATTATTGTTGGCAACACTAGTCTTTTATTTGTGTCATCATTACTTGTCCATGCACGAGTTCACTGTGGGTTCTGAGTCTGTACCAAGTTTCATTAAAATTGAAGTATGTTGAAGGTCAAAAGTGGCACCAATAATGAAACACGTACAAAGTCTATGGGATTTGTGGAAACAAAAAGAAGTTAAACTAGAGCTATGCCTGTTCGATGAATAGGACATAGGCTTTTCCGCATTTTTAAATAAGGCCAAAAAAAAAAGTCGGTCTCTGGTCAGACCGAAGTTCCGGAATCAATGCAGCAACGCGTTGTGTGTGTTTTTTTTGGGTGGCTTTTTTTTTTTCAATCTTGAATTGTACAGACAAGGTGGGTACTATTTTGCATCCTCTTTATACACTGGTGTCCTCCATAATTTGCCTTGGTACCCTTTATCATTTGCCTTGGTGCAATTTCCCCATTCCTTGGTGCTCCATGGTACAAAAATTTGAGGTGCGGCAATAGACGTTGCTGTTGTAGCTTCCGTGTTAATTTGAAGAAAAAAAAAGGTTGACGCACATGATTAAAATCGACGCGCGCGCTGACCAGAGACCGAGTATTTGGGGGGGGGGGGGGCCTCATGTCAATTTTTTGTATTTAGAAGAAAATGTTAACAGTTTATAAATTAATAAAAAAGTAAGTTGATGACGTCATCATCACATCACTTCAGATTTTGCATACTATAAAAAGTATTTACCTACCCACCAAGTTTCAAGACAAGCCAAATTACCCTATTGTGTGTTTAAAAAAATCACATTGTTGATCAATGATGACGTCATCGTGACGTCACATTTTTTTCAAAAATTTTGTTCATATGTATTACCTAACAAACCTAATACAAAATGAATTTTCAATTTAGCATTTTGGGTTCGAGAGATATGGTGATAATCTTCAAAACTTCAAAAATTGATACATAAAATTACACGATGACGTTATAATCAAACTATACCACCAAGTTTCAACCCAATGGGACTTACCGTTCATGAGATATATCAAATTAATAAATACCTTGGAGAGTTGATGGTTTCTGATTGGTCGAGACTCGATCACGTGGGGGTGTATTAACAGTGATATAAAGACCGGCTTCAAAGAACAAGCGAAAAAAATGGCCCCTGAACCAGCACTGATCCAGCCCCATGCAAGGCAATGATTGGCTAAATTTACAACAGTCATACGGCAGCTTGTAACAATACAGCACTGCACATGCGCTCAACCACCTTCGCGTGGGACTGACGCCCGCGTACGCAACACAGTTGCTATGGGTGCGCGCGCGTAAGGAAGTTTTAAAACGACATCGTACAGCAGTGCAGTGCAGTATACTGAGGATGTTTACGACAAAAGCGTAGCTCTACGATTTATTTTCTTTAGACACTTCGCCCATCGACATATTTACCTTTCCTAAACAGAGCATCTTTGGAATTCTGGACACAAGGAATGTGTAAACGAAATTTCTGCTTCCTCCATCAGGTAAAAATATGAAAACATTGTTGTAATTTCTTTCGCTACACCAGCAGAAGTCCAAACCCTGGACGTCGTACACGTATGCAATGAAGACAACGCTTATTGAAGAGACAGGGTACCACACATAGGTTAGATATGGCCCATGAACATGAACATAAAAGAGTCTGGAAATATTGCCAAAAGGAAGTCACAAAACTGCGTCTCAGTCCATTAACAGCAGTCATGACATCATTCTTTGGGACACAAGCTCACTATTGGGTCTTTACATAGGGTAAGATCATCAGAATATGAGTTTGTTTTAGGTAAAAAGTTAAGTGGTCAATAAAACCTGTACAAAGTCTATGGAATTTAGGTTAGAACAAGAGGAAAAAGTATGGGAAAAAAAAGGAAAGAAAAACTACAGCTATGCCTGTTCGATGAACAGGACACAGGCTTTTCTGCATTTTTAAAATAATACGCGTAAAGAAATACTTAAAAAAAATACTTTGTCAAATTTTGTATTAGAAGAAAATGAAAAAAAGTTGATAAATTAATTTTTTTAAAAGGTGATGACTTCATCATGACGTCACTTTACATTTGCATACTATTAACACTATCTACCTACCCACCAAGTTTCAAGACAATCAGACTTACCCATTTAAGTGTTTCAAAAGATTGCATTTTTGATGGCGTCATCATGACATCACACATTTTTCAAAAATTGTGCAGATACCTATTACATAACAAACCTAATACAAAAAGAATTTTGAATTTAGTATGTTTGAAGCCAATCGGATGAATAAAAGTGTTAAATTTTGTAAGCAGAATAAAATTGTAAATTTAAAAAATCATTAAAAATCCACTGATGATGTCATCCTGATGTTGTTTCAGATTTTGTGTACTAGTACTCTTATCTACCCACCCAACAAGTTTCATGGTGATTGGACGTTCCCTTATATGTGTTTAAAAAAAACAAAACGCATTTTTGATGACATCATAATGATGTCACACAATTTTCACAATTTTGTGAATATACCTGTTAACTTAAAAACATAATACAAAAAGAATTTTGAATTTAGCACATTGTGTTCGTGAGATATGGCTTAAAGGTCCAAAAATCGATATAAAATCACATGATGACGTCATGATGACATCACCTCAATTTTTACCTATAACACATCCCGGTAAACCTACATAGCAAGTTTCAACCCAATCGAACTTACAGTTCTTTAGATTTAGGGTCTTAAAAGTTTGCATGTTTAAGATGATGTCATGTGACCCATGATGACGTAATCGTGACATCAAGCTCACTATGGGGTTGTTATATTTGTAAGTTTTGGCAAAATACGAGTTTGTTTTAGGTCAAAAGTGGCGTGGTTAATAAACTGTGACGAAGTTTATGGGATTTGGGTTGGAACAAAAAGAAAAGGGAAAAAAAAAATCAGAACAAAAACAATGCTTTTCCGCTTTCAAGCGGAAAAGCAAAAATCAGAACAAAAACAATGCTTTTCCTCTTTCAAGTGGAAAAAGCAACAATGCTTTTCTGCTTTCAAGCAGAAAAGCCAAAAAAAATAAAATTAGAACAAAAACAAAGGCATAATAAATTAATATCCAAAACATTTGTTTGTCATCATCATTGTCAGGCGCTCCATCTATTCTTTACATAAGTGTTTTCGCTTTACTTAAAAACGGTCCATGTAGGTACCGTCCATTAGTTTTTTATATGTCAATGATTAAACATGATTTTTTTGAATCCTTTTTTCCCAAATAGTACAGTGGAACGCCGCTATGAGGAACATTGCGGGATCCACAAAAATTGTTCGCAATAGCGATCGTTCGGTATAGCGATTTAAGCTGCTGGTGCTCCGGTACGGTACCCCCTTTTCAATAAATAGCGCCCTTCAGAACTTCACCCTGCACACCCTGGTTGCTACTAAAGATGACTTTGAACACGTGCCAAATATTGACATGTAATTACACAGTTTTTGAGCTTACTACCTACAGTGTACAATGGGTGGCTTTCCCCTTCTATTCCTTGGAGAAATAATAGCCACTTATCACCCTTCTTGTCAACAAGACAAGTTTTGGTAAGTTTTGTGGACAAAAAATGGGATCTCGTCTATGGAATTTTTGCACGCTATTGCACTTAAATTTGTCCACTCTATCCGAGTGCCCTAGATAAAATCTTATCTTATAAGTATTCCTGTCAAATATAGAAATGTAAGCCAGGTTACAAACTTGTACTAAGTATTGTAACAAACTTGTACTAAAACTTGTAAGTATAAAACGTACTGTAAAAGTTTATGTAAAAAGCAAAACAAAGTTTTATCACATATTATTTTTAAGTTTCTAATGTTCTGTTATCTGCTGCACTTGCATGCGGTCATGAATCCTAAACATTAGCTAACATGTACATGTATATATGATCATGTAAATCGAAGCAGGTCACCAGACGAATTGTTCGAGGCCAAAAGTCCCAAATTTTAATCGCTAAAAATGTGCTTGAAAAAAAAAATGCCACTCCATAGAAACAATTAGATTGTTCACATGTTGCTTGTGTATTTATTTAAAGCTATAGTCCATCATTTGCAGTCATCCGAAAAGTAACTGGCGTAATTACTGTTGAAAAACAAACTTAGCTGAAAGATAGTAAGGGAAATAAACTCCCTGTGAAATTATTCTTTCTGGGAAGCTGTCATTTTGAAGTAATCAACGAAAGAAGGCATTTCCAACGGTGATTCTTAAGAAGCACCGTAGGAAAATTTAAATTAGTAGTTTGTTTTGTTATTCAGCGCAGCGCGCGCAAGTATTGAAACGACGCGCACGCGTGCGCGGTTGTTATAATTCGTCAGATCAGTGCGCGACGTCGCATAAAGCTGCAATTCAAAACATGATTCAGTAACTTTTGATTTGAAATTGAGATCTTAGAATGCTGTTTTTCTCGGAATGTACAGCTGAAGCTTAGCTGAAACTTTATCAGGTTAGTTGCTTAGTATCCTTTATTAGATTTTGAAATCTTTTGTTGCCTCAAACAAACAAAATGCACAAATTACAAATGATGAACTATAGCTTAAGTTGTTTGACACTTGAATGATTTCTATTGCAATTAGTTCTAGGTCTTCACGTAAATTGACCGGACTAACAGGGTTTCTAATGCTTTTTACTGTAAATTTAAGACATGATATATGAAGTTTCTTTGACTCAGTTTACCTATAGGCAAGAAGAAACAATTTTCCCCTTAGTATAGTAATGAAGGATCACATACCTCCCCTTGCATGACAACTTTGTTGACGATGTAGTGGCCATCTTGTAGTGTGAGAAATGTCTTCTTGTCGAGATGATGGTCTTCAAGCTGGACAGAATAATCCCATATAAAATAAGAACAAAACAAAGGAAAAACTAGAATTGTGTTAGTTGACAAACACATAGCCGTTTCCACTGATTTAATAACAACTGCCATGTAGGGGTTTCATCCAAGTCGGATGTATGTACATGAGTACTATTCTAAAAAAAAATTGGGCTGTGTAAAAGTGAATTTGCTGTTTTAAATTAACAAGATTTAGATGACGCAACATGACTAATAATGACGTCATCACGACGCCAATTGTTTTGGAGCAACATTAGCTGAGGGTCTTGGTCTGTGCCTACTTTGAAGTCAATCTGATCGTATTTTATGTCATATTTGTAATTAGATGAATATATTAAAATTAAAACAAATAATGAAAGACCAGTTGATGATGTCATGACGACGTCATTTCAGATTTTGAATACAAATATCAACACTACATGTACCTACCTACCGGTACCAGGTTTCATAACGATCGGACATACCCCTATGCATTTTAAAAAAATCACGTTTTTAATGACGTCATGATGACGCAACATATTTTCAAAATTGTGTGTATATCTATGACCTAACAAGTGTTACAAAAATAATTTTGAATTTACCAAGCTCTATTGATGAGATATGACTAAAAGGTCCAAAATCTGAATAATTCATATAAAATCACAGGACTTCATCGTGACATCACTGCAAGTTTTGTCTGTAACACAAAATATGCACTTTTGGGGTGATGTCACCTGACAAGTGATGACGTCACCATGACGTCATTGCTCGGCCTGAATCTTTAGATGGTGGTCTAAGTATGTGCCAGGTTTGAAGTTGATTTGTGCTAGGTTTGAAGTCGCTTGGATGTGAAAAAGTCCCAAAGTCCTATGTAGAATGAAAACATGTGTTATCCTATTGAAAATGGAGTGGAAAAAGGAAAAAAGAAAGAAAAATAACAGCGTTGCTGTTGAAACCCCTCAGCCGGAGTTTGTCGAAAGGGCAAATTGATATTCCAAACTCAAATATCATGTGTACCTTAAGTTATCATGCAGAAACCATTAACTCACCACGGTGACCTTGACCTTTGACCTTTTGACCTCAAACCAATCCCAACTTGCCTACTCCCAAGGGCAACCCCTACCAGAGTTACAATCCCAAACGACATTTCTAACTCAAGTTATCTTTCGGAAACTGAGCTGCCTGGACAGACGTCCGTACAGCCGGACGTCTGGCTGGAACGGCCCGCCCCGATGGACAGCCACCCTGACGGACGCCGTAGGCGATGACAATACCCCTTGAGCTCTCGGCTGAGGGGTAAAAACTAGACTTATGTTTGTGGACAAAAACAGGGCTGTTTCAATAACTTTTTTGTAAAGTTTTAAGTATAACATGTATAAGTTCCAACCAGAAAGGATGTGTAGTCCTGTTTATAATAAATGGTGGCATATAAACATGTGATTACATTCTCATAGGGTTTTGAATTGTGACGTCACATGTCACATGATGACGTCACATCAATTTTCATCTATAATCATCTATAACAACCTGCCGCTACGACGTCACCGTTATTTTTTTGTAAAAAACAACTTAGCCAGAGCATACATCGTTGAAAGCAAGTTCACATCTGTTACCAATTTTAAATTAACAAGGCACTTCCAGTTTCAACTAGAAGCAAGGGTCACATGATTTTGTACACATCGAAACAGTCAATAATATTGCATCACCTGAATTTCTCAACTGTTTTGGTTTATTTTTTTGGTGTTTTTTTCAAAAGATGGCTAAACCGACCCGACCCAACCTGACCCGAAAATGTAAATGCAAAACCAAAATCGACCCAACCTGACTGAAAAGATGGGCAAACTGACCGGACCTGAAGTCAGTTTCGGGTCAAGTCGGTTTCGGTTTCGGGTCGGTTTGCATATCATTAGTTCGCATATGATGTGAAAGTGTAAGATGTGGAAGGCGGGCCGCAAGGAAGCATGAGCCTTAAGCCAACCATTTTAAACCCACGAAAGTAAACCAGAGGAATAAGCCAGTTCAGTATTTCAACTGGACATGTGCACCATAATATGGGTAACGTGTCATTTGGGATAATCGAAGGCGTATGAATGCACGTGGAAATGGTAGCACGACGCTCATGCGCTTATTACAACCAAATAGGCCTCCGCGTAACAACGTGTTTCATTATGTCAGCGATTTTATCCTAAATGACCTTCAACCTGGACTACTGCATCAAGATACTGAAAGGTCCGGAAGGGCGAGGGTGATATCATATACCATACTAGATATACCTTGGAGACTGTGGACTAGTCACAACATAGTCTTAGCCCAAGACCGGCTTTGGATTATTTTGGTCTATGTGCAGTTAGTATATAACACGCGCTGGCAAGCACAGCCAAATGACATCAACGGAAGAGGGCACTATTGACGAGACGAACCAAATCTGGTCTCGGTTAATCTGGCAGAGCTCCCTGAAAAATTTCGAGCATACCTCAGCATGAATAATATGCAAAACCCTGGTTTAGACTGGTTCCTTGAAAACATGCTTGTTGCCTGTGGCCTCTCGCTGAGTAATGCCGTTGATGCGACAGGCAGCGCCGGGGACAGGTGAGCATTTTCGCTGTGAACGCGGCGACTACGGCAAGCTCACATTATTGACAGTGTTGAATTTGTAATTGAGTGGTGCATCAGCATTAAACCTTCGTGCCAGACCCCGCTGGCACTACTAGTTCCAAACCTTGTCGTGTGAGGGCGTCTATGATCACTGCCTAATATGATGGGACTGGCATGCTTCTGGACACGTTCAATAGAATTACTTTGCTCAGCACTGATTGATGTGTGCCAAACTTGACTAGCATAATCCAGAATTGGTCAGATGTAGCAAATAAAAACTGTAAGCAAGTCATATACAGCAACTTTAGCCTTTCTTAAGTATACATAATGTATAATCTACCGGTATGAGAGGCTCTTGAGACAATGTCAGTAATGTGTAAGTTCCATGTCAGATCCTTGTATGGTTATACCTAATAATTGCTGATGAGACACATCATTCAAATTGACCAAGTTAATTGAAAAAGATTACGTGGGTATTTCACATTTCATAAAACTATCATGGATTGACATTTAGAGGGTTTAGGCAAAACATTGATGTTATTGCACCAGACAGAGAGATTATCAAGGTGAGTTTGAAGTTTTAGCTCTTTGTCATATTTAACAATTTCAGCCAAAGTCAGATCGTCCACAAATGTCCATCGTCTGCAGCAATCCTCAGACACATCGTTGACAAGTGCAAGAAAAAGAATTGGACCTCATTTCGTTCCCCGAGGGACACCACAGGATATTGACTGGGTTGTGGAGAGATGATGATTGAGCTTTGCATTTTGTGTGCGACCTGAGAGAAAGCTGCAGACTATGGGAACTATTGATCGTCTGACACCAAGATTAACAAGCTTTTGTATCACAATAGTGTGGTTAACACTGTCGAATGTTTAGGTAAAAGGTAAAATGAAAACGTGCGACATGTCCCATTGTAAAGAAACCATGGCCAAGGAGGCTGGCATGGTCGTGTCCTCTTGTTCGGCCTCATGAGGCACCAGGGAAGAGGAAACATCTTGGTCCCTGGAAGGAGGTTCAGACGGCAAGTCCGCAGGAGCCCAGAGAGAACTAGGGGCAAACACCAACATGACTGGAGAGTCTGATGGATGGGAAATTGTATGGGGTATGTTAGGGTTTCGGGCCGACCGAGGATAAGAAGAAGGCGAAGAGCTCAGATAAGCCGAGGTAGTCTGCTAAGAGAAGGTTGACAAGGTTTCAGGCAGGTTCTGACTTGTTTGAAGTAAATTCTTGTCCCTATGAGAAGATTTATGTCGCTTGAGGCTGACAGAGCTAGTATCAGTGGATATATCTGATGACTTGCCTTTCTTCTTCTTCTAATGAGAAGAATCAGCCTCAGATTGTACAGGGACCCTAGATTCAACCAGGAACTCTGATGTAAATGGGCCACTCAGAGAAACCAAGGGCTGGGGTAAGCAGAGTTGAATCACTGTCCGAGGAGGTGGAGCCCTGGCACCCAGATCACCAGGTATCGGCACTGTGGATATGGCGGAATAGGCCGGTGGAGTAGCAGAGCTGTCAGCCTCCTCACGGGCAGAACCAGGGTGATTCTTTGAGGTGTTCTTTTTTCGGGGCCCTGTGGCTGCCATGACTTCAGAACGGGGTAGAACACCCGTAAAATATTGGTAAAACTGATTGGCAGCCGGAACAAAGCGGGTCATCTGGAACAATAGTGTGGCGGCAGGTACAATATTGGAGCGGCCAATAAACAAGTCCAGAAAAAAAGCGATAGGCCTATCTAATGAAGGATGTATCACTCTAGTGTTGCTTTATGTATTAACAGAGCAGAATACAATGTAATATGCCTGAAGCGTCACACCATGTAACTGTGAGATATATCAAAATTGCCCGTTTAATAACGGCATTTGTTTTGAAGGCGAAAGCACCGACTATTCCGTGCGGTGCAGTGCAGCATGACAGATTTGCTAATAGTGAAATACCATGCTGACAGGTCGTTAAGTTGTAGCATAGGTAAGGGGTGAGCGGCTTGCAACTCGTGCAGTGCTTCACCTCCAGAGGGTCTGCCACAGGGTCTGCTAAAAAAAAAACACCGGAACTGGGTCTGCTTGAAAAACCGGAACAACTGCTTGAAAAAAATGGAACTTTATTTTTTGGAGAAAAAGACACTCCGACACAAAGTCCCCGTTGTCATCTTTCTCTTGTAACCAAGCCCAGCTCCATTTATTTTTGCTTCAATGGCCTTTAAGCTGTCGATTCGTTCAATCACTTTGACTTTTTTCCATATTCCTGTTATTTATTCTGCCTGGAGAAAAAGACACTCCGACACAAAGTCCCCGTTGTCATCTTTCTCTTGTAACCAAGCCCAGCTCCATTTATTTTTGCTTCTATGGCCTTTAAGCTGTCGATTCGTTCAATCACTTTGACTTTTTTTCCATATTCCTGTTATTTAT